TTGACTGTAGCGTTTTTTACACTGTTAATCACTGTAGCAATGAAGCAGGCCCGGGGCCCAGTGCTATCCTAGCTCCTCTCCTGCTTAGCATGATGACTTTTCGACTGTCTACTACAACAAGTTGTGCCCGACTCCGGCGAGGGAGGGGCGATGACGACAGCTCGCTTCAGTGCTTATAGTCATCATCACTAGGTGTTCTGCAAATCTGGTTGTAATTATCATTATTTTTTGTGTCTGTTGCACTGTCATGATTATAGATGAATAGATTAAAAGTTTTTCAAAAAAGTATTATGATGAATGGGTTGGATGTGATTTTTAAAGAAGTAAATAAATATATCTGTGCAATTCTTGGAAGGCTAGGCTTAGACAGAGTGAACGGCAGCCATCCAAACAGGTGCCGCATACATAGCCACGAAGCCTAATTATCCAACGAGGTTTGTCCTAGCACCTAAAAGAATAAAAAAAATCATGCTCGAAATTCCGGTCACGTGGGCCCACGGGGATCGCATAAATACACGCGCATCCACTCGATCTCCCAGCTACGCTGCTATGAATAGAGCAGAGTGAAGGTGGTTGGGGCAATTGGCATGCACAGTTCACAGTTGGAGCGCGCCCACTCCATGAGCATCACCCCCTCCCCTAGATAGAAAGCCGCTGCCCCCCGTCCGGACGACGAGCCTGCAGGTTGATGGTCGGCCGGACATGGACGCGCTCCTCCTCCTCTTCCTGCTCAAAATGGAGGCTTTCCACATACAGTTCTTCCCGAGCCCCTGAATCTCGATCGTAGCCGAGAGCGCACACGCTAGCTAGGTTGGTAGATTGCTGCTGGTGGATAGGTACGTGCGTTTTGTAGGCATTAGGCGGCAGGCTGGTGCTGTGTTGTTGTCGTGGTACAGATCACGTGGTGGTGGTGGATGGGCCTCATGGCCGGGATGCTCCCTGGCGTCGAGTTTGCCAGGAGGAGGAGGCTCCGGCCGGCGGCGGAGGCCCCGTGCGCCGGCGCGCGGCGGCCGGCGTCGCTCGGCATGTTCGGGCACGACCACGCCCACCTCGGCTCGTCAGGTTTTGCGATGGTAATAACAACTAGTAGAAGCCATGGATTGTTCGTCATCCTCCTGTTTGATTGATGCTCGCATGTTGATTACAGTACTAATCTCGATCGTTTCCTGTGGCTCGATGAAACCGATTTGCAGCAGAGGAGCGGCGTGGGCGAGGAGGCGTGGACGACGCAGCTGGACGGCATCGCCCGGGAGGCCAAGGAGAGGCTGGATCACAAGCTCAGGAGCCAGAGAGAATCTGTGGTCAAGAGGTACTTTACTTACGGTTCTTCTTACCCTTTTTGAATTCACTGCTGTTTTTTCAAGATTTTTACACAATTCGGACTTCAGAGACCCCTGTTTGGTGAAACTTGTTTGAATTGTGAAACAAGAAACATGGGCATGAGTCATTAGATAGCAGGTGCTTTTTTAGTGAAGGAGCCAAAGTACTTTTGTGAAGGAATCTAGCTTCCTGTGGCATCGTTTGCATTTTCAGAGAGAAAATTCAGTATACTTTTTCTTGGTAAGGATGGATATAATTTGCTCATGATTGATGAGTGAGTTCATGCATGGAGTCATGATGTCACTCACTGATCAATCAGCTCTGCTGCAGAGGCTGATTTACGCTCAAGAAAATCTGAGTCAGTCAGTATCAAGATTCTTCCTTGTGTTTTCTCTGTTCTCGAGCAGAGCTAGCTCTGCCTTGATGGCTCTGTATTTGATTCAGCTAAATTTCCTACGAACCAGTGGCTTAATCAATCCTCTGCGTTGCGACTTGCAGGCGCCACAGCACGGGAAGCCTCCGGCTCCCGGCCCCGTCGAGCACCACCAGCGACCACCCGGCCAAGGACACGGCAGGGGCGGCGAGCGCCCTGCAGCGAGAGGTGTTCACGAAGAGAGGCGGCGGCCGGCGGTTCAGCTGGGGCCGGAGGAAGGAGCAGCATCAGCAGCAGGCGGAGTGCGCGGTGTGCCTGGAGGAGTTCCGGGCCGGGGACGTGCTGGCGCACCTCCCCTGCGCGCACCGCTTCCACTGGGCCTGCGCCGTGCCCTGGGTCCAGGCCGCCTCCCGCTGCCCCTTCTGCCGCGCCGCCGTCCGCCTCGCCGACCACCAGCATGTCTAGCGCACATTGGTTCCTTCTCGGCCGGAGCCGGACAAGGCCATGGCGCATCGGTGGAGCCGCGTGGCACAGTAGCAGACACCTGCGCGTGCATGGGATGCCTTGTGTCCTGGCCGCGCCCCGCCGGCAAGTTGCAGTGCGTGGGGCAGCGGCGCACTGCTGCTGCTGCGGGTCGCCGGTGTCGCCTGCGAACCAAGCGTGTGGTGGTGCGCGGGGAGACGTGTCCGGCCGTGCCACCGACGCCGGGAGCTGCTCGCCCGGTGACCGCACCTAGCCGTCGATTATTTTGTTGCTGCTTTTTTTTTTAGGATCTTGTTGCTGCTTTCTTTGTGAGCGTTGGATTAACAATTTACCATCAAGTTGCGCTTTGCTGTGTGCTGTTATCTGCTTCATCATTTCCGAAATATAAGACGCGCTTCACTTTACATGATTTTGACGCATGACTTTAATCACTAATATATGCGTATCAACTATATAGATTGAACATGTATAAGTCGCATCATTGTTGGCAAAAATCATAGTTAAAGTTGTGAAAAACTAGAAAAGTCAACCATCGACTTACATTTTAGAAAGGAGTGAGTACTTGGCTGCTTGTTCAAAACGTGAAGGAAAAAATAATCCAAAACAGGCTACAGATATGCTCACGTGAAATATTTTCTGCGCTCCAAAGAGATCCAAGCTCCGATGGTTGTTGTTTTTATTATGGTTTTGTTAACAGGATTGCTAAATCTCAGTTGGACTGAGATTTAACGAAGTCTCAGTCAATGCTATATTCGTAAGATCTTACATGAAGATCCGTGCAAAAATATATTTTATTTTGTATATTCTGTCACTTCACTGAGACGTGGTTAAGTTTCAGTCGAGTGAGATCTAGCCATACTCTTTTGTTAATTTCAGTCGGTGAATAAAAAAATATCAATTTGATTTTTTTTGCTCGAGAAAAGATACTTTTGAAGAATCCATTAATGAGAAGGCTAGCACTCAAGCAACTGATTTTCATCGTGATTACCATCACCTCGCGCACATGATGCATGTCCCTGTGGGAGGTCAGGCGAGATAGTAACGTGGCCCATGTTGAAGTCGTAACACAGGCCATGTTGCAGATGACAGGCCAGCGCAAGGTACATGTGGCAGCTCAACCTTGAATTGCAACATGGCCCATGTTGCGTCCGATCGCAACACGGGTCATGCTGCAAATGACGGGCATCAACAGAGGTGGTTAAAGCATAGATCATGTTGTAGTGATTTTTACATGAACCATAGAAAGCGGTTCATGAAGCGTAATATGACTCATGTCTTTTTTTTTTGCGGGAAAATATGACTCATGTCACAAAGCTTTGAAAGCATCACGACTGGCACCTGACGGCTGTCCCGTATGCCATCCAACACCTACCGAGGCGGTTGATGCAATTCGATTATCATCTAGTCGACGTGTAGTATCACCCATATTAATATTCGGCAAAAGTCTCTTCTAGATCTATAAGAGATTTAAAAAAAAATGTTAATCCTCAACCTCTTGAGATTTTCTTTGCACTCAATCAACATCGTGAACTCAGACAAATAATTTTTACACTAAAAGAATAAACTATTAATGCACAGTGTACACTTTTCTATATCTTGTAAATAGTTTAGTCTTTTCTTAGGGAAAAGCCAAATTTTATTCATCAAAGACCACATGAGGTGGGATACAACTCGGTGGGGCTGGCCTAACCAGAGGTGGCGCCCCCGACTGAGACTAAGCGAATATTTGGCTAATCTATATGCTTCGACATTAGCAACACGACCTTCAAAACAGAAATTACACTGAAATAAAGTTGTTGTAAGATTGATCTCCTGGACAATAGAACCACTCTTGCCTCTGCCCCCGCATAAAATATCAGCCACTGTTTGCTTGGAATCATATGCTACGACGAAATTGTGCAGGTTATGATCTTCCGCTAGTGCCAAAGCCTCTCTGCAAGCTATAGTCTCAAGTATTGTTGGATCCTCTAGGCCAGCTACCACCAATGCGGAGCTGCCTAAGAAGTTGCCTTGCCTGTCCCGGCAAACTGCTGCTGCTGATCCACCCTTCCTTGCTCTTACTCTAGCATCTACGTGAATCTTGGCATAGCCAACCGGAGGAGCTTTGGGGCGCGCAGCTTGTGTCTGGCCCGTAGGTTGAACTCCTCCCCTCATAGGGCTTCTCACGTCGATCATATTGAGTTCAGCAATGAAGCGCCGGACAAAGGAGTTAGTTGCTTGAGGCGATTGGAAAATTCCTTCATAAATAGCCTTGCGACGCGCTGTCCATATCGCCCAGAGTGTAACCGCAAGCAATACAAACTGGTCATGTGATAGCGAGTGCATGAAGGTGAAGAGCAACTGTTTGGCATTGGGTTCCGTGTTTGAGACCAGATTTTTTGCTAGCTCCTCATCAACTAATGCCCACACACCTCTCGAGCTAGTGCAGTTAACCAGAGAATGTCTCCATGAATCAGGAGAGCCACATAAGCTGCAGTGAGCATTATCTGCCATGTGTCGATGAGCCCTGATGTCCTCCGTAGGGAGATAATGCTTTGATAAATGCCAGAGGAACATCCTAACCTTTGCAGGAACCTGGGTCTTCCACAAAGTTTTCCAAGCTCCCTCCTCGGACGCAATATTTGATGTTCCAGCCGTGCCCTCAAGCCATGCCTCCCGGCGCTGTCTTGTCGCTACAAGCATGCGATAAGCAGATTTGACGATGAAGTTTCCGCTTGTTTCAAAATTCCAGCTCCAGAAGTCCTGGAGATTACGAGTGCACAACGGAATTCCCATAATGGTGCAAGCATCCGTGGGCATGAACACTTGGTTGATTAGTTGGTTGTTCCACGAAGCACTAGTGTGGTCGATCAGTTCCGATACCAGGGTTGGCGGATTAGGGTGAATACACCCATATGGCCGTAGCATCTCGTCTCTTGGCAGCCACGGGTCCTCCCAGATTCGAGTAGACTGATCATTGCCAATTTTACGAATTAGTCCATGTTTGAGTGTATCTCTACCTTCGATAATGGCTCGCCATATCTGACTGGGGTGGTTGCCCAAAGTCGCCTCCAAAATAGTGGAGTCAGGGAAATATATGCTCTTCAATAAGCGAGCACTAAGGGACTCTGGTGTTTGGAGTAATCTCCAAGCCTGTCATGCCAACATCGCCATATTGAAAAGTTCAAAATCTTTGAATCCTAGACCTCCCATTCCCTTTGGTTGTGTCATACTTTTCCAAGATACCCAATGAGGTTTCCTTTTGCCATCTTTGCTTCCCCACCAAAACTTCCTGATAAGCATATTGAGATGTTCACATAACCTCCTTGGGAGTTTAAAGCATGACATGGAGAATACCGGTATGGACTGGGCTACTGATTTGACTAGAACCTCCTTGCCTGCCGATGACATGGTGTTTTCCACCCAACCATGCACCTTACTCCATAAACGATCTTTCAGGTATTTAAAGGCACCATTCTTCGAACTCCCAATATCAGATGGCATCCCTAAATAGTTTAGTCGCGTGAGAATTTCTTAGCACTAAGTCAAAGTTGAGTGCATTCCTTCACATGTTGTTGGACCTCCAGCCGAGGAAACACTCGCGTCAGACGGTCGTATACACGGCAAATCCTATTTGTCGCTTATTGCAACAAATAGTCGACAGTTCATATATGAGTTGCGCTCCATGGGCCAGGGCAAGTGGCAACATGTACCTGTTACTCGCGTCCACATGGACAGTTGGGGTTGTGCCCTCAAAGTGTATCGAACCCAGGATCTCATCCTGAGAGGGAACGCGATACAACCAGCTGAACCATCGCGCTTTAGTGATTATAAGACAGCACAAACTATTAAGAACCTCAGCACAACTTCGCAAAATTTCTAAAATTAGTGATCATTAAATGCTGAAAACATTTTCTGAAAATTCTGAAAACAAAATTTGGAAAGGCGAATTTTTTTCTGAAACTGCCGAAGAAAATTTCAAAACACGAACATTTGTTGAAATTTATGAACAATTTTTGGAACGAGATATTTTTTTTGAAACTTCTAAAAAATTGTAAACATGAATATTTTTAAAAAAATATATTTTTTGAAAACAGGAACATTTTGTGAAGTTGTGAATATTTTGAAATAACCTTCGGAATAATTTTTGGAAAAGACAAACAAAATTTGAAAACATGATTTTTTTTAAAATTTGAGAACAATTTTCGAACAGCACACAATTGTTGAAACACCTGCAAATATGGGAACATGAACATTTCTTAAAATTTGTGGACTATGTTTTAAAGCAGGAACATGTTCTGAAATTCTGAATAATTTTTTAAAATGTTGTGAACATTTTGAAGAAAAATATGCTGAAGAAATTTTTTTAAAAATGACCATTTTCTGAAAAGTGCAAACAATTTTTTAAATGTGAACGTTGTTTTTTTTAATACTGACAAAATGGACATCTTGCGAACAATTTCCGAAACATGATTTCTTGTTAAAATTTGTGATGAATTATTAATAATGGGAACATTTTTAAATTCTGAACATTTTTTGAAAGTCCTGGACATTTTTCAGATGTTTGAAAAAGACAATGAAAGACAACAATTTTTTTTAAATGGAAAAAATTGAAGAAAGAAAACTAAAATTGGAAATGAAAAATTGAAAGGAAAGGAAAGAAAAGAAAAAACGAAATAGAAACAAAAGAAAAATAAACAGAAATGGGAAAGAGTAGCGAAAGGGAAAAAACAGGAAAAGGGAAAAAAGGAAAACAAAAAAATAGAACAAAAAGAAAAAACCGGTTTAGGAAGCTTGTAGAAGTTTCCTAAAACAAAAAAGAGGCTGAGACCGTCTAGAGGGTTCCAAAACCAGGGACGTTGAACGCTTAAACGGGTCGGCTCAGCTCGAACAATCGATCGATCTCCTCCGTGCGAAACAGCGATAGTTCGATGCAAAATACGTCGAATAGGGAATTCGAATTATTATATTAGCGGAATGGCGAAATCACTAATTAAGGAACA